CTGACAGTTAGAACAATTAATCAGTGGAACAGCTTTTCTCCAGAAGTTGTGAATGCCCCAACACTGGAAGTCTTTAAGAAGAAGATGATGTTGGATAGCCATTTGTCTGAAATGGTATACGGTTTTCTACCTAGGCAGGGGGTTGGACTAGAAGACCTCCAAGGTCCCTTCCAATTCTGCTATTGTATTGTATTAAAAAGATATACGTGCATATTGTATTACATCTTGTAACATCCACATATAATATGCATTCTTCAAAAAGTGCATTCTATTAAAAATAGAGAATACTTTTTTTCATAACCACTTTTATGAGCTGTCATAGTCTTATGTAACTTTATAGAACAAACAAGTATAACTTGTACATTTGTAGTTCTTGCTGCAGATGCTTATTTGTATCAGAGTTCAACCCCAAGTTATCTTCAGTAGTAAATCCAACTTCTATTATCTATAAACTAATGAAAGTTCCCTTCAGCCTATAAGTTTTGCTTTGCCTAGGCCAAAGAGCAATCCACTATGAATATGACATTGCTTTATGGATGTTTCCATTAAGCCAAAATTAGAAGAACTGGTGTGGCAACATTTACAGATATTTTTAAGTGGGGAGGAGAGTGCATCAACTATATTTATATTTTTCTATAATATAAATACATTTGACTTTCCCCACTTGACTAAAGCACCTGTCTTCAGCAAGCCTGTCTAGCCTTCTTTATAGTTCAATTTCCTCAACTGTGTAATTATTACATTAGGCTGAATTTTTATTTCTTGGAAGAAAACTGCCTTGAATTCACTGGGAATTATGTTCTGAGTAGTTTATTTATTTATTTGGAAAAAGTATTAGCCATCCATCCAACAAAGCAACTCTGCACAGCTAATACCTTTCAGAGACCTCCAAGAGCTGAATGAAATAAACTCCAAGGATCACAACACACCCTGCAACTCTGATGTACACAAAAGATAAGGCAATCCTCTGATCATCTTCATAGCTTTTTCAAAATCCAAACAATTCTGCATTAAATAATAAAGAATGGAGGGAAACAGCTTCTTCGGTTCTATTTAGGGACTGCCCCATAATGCTAAATTTCACTGCTTCCAAAGCGACCCCTTCTCTCCACCCCCAACTGGTAGAAAAGCAGCTAGGAGGGTTGCAACTCCCAACACCAAACTCCATTTATGCACTATTGTGCAGCCCCCGGGCTGGAGCCAACCATCCCTCTGTTCTTCTCCGACGATCTGCGCGTAGCAGCTCCGCAAACTCGGAACCGGACACAGAACTTACCCGAATCGCTGGGAAGAAAGACCCTGCAATCTAAATACTAATCCTCCCCAATAAAAGAGTCAGGCGCTGGGCGATGCAATTTGGGGAGCCATGAATCCCAATCCCGTCCTTTGAGCGCTTTAGGAGGGTGACTCCCGGGCTCAACCACCGGGCTCCTCTTCTTGTTCTCTGCCACTCTTGCCAAGACTATCTGTTTTTTCTTCCGTTAGTAAGGAGGAAATCTCCCCCCTCTCTCAAAGTTCCACAGTGGGGGATTTCCACACCAGCCACCAAGGGATTTTCCGAGGTGACACCCCTGCCTGGGCAGGAACAACAGCTGCTTTAAAGAACCGGAGCGGCTGGGCGCGATGCAGCGCTCGGATCTCCAGGGGGCGCTGGAGACGCAAAAAACGCGCGACGCATGAGCAGACCGGCACGTGATGTTCCTAGTTGTCGTCATCCAGCCAGTCTGACCTGGATAAACCTTTTTCTCTCCGCCTCTCCGGCTGGGTTTCTCCCAGATGAGTTACGGAGTGCCTTTGCCCCCCCCCCCACCTCTTCTCTTTTATTTGAAAGGCGTGTTTAATTGATTTGTGAAGGGTGGGAGTCGTTTTCTCCCCCCCCCTCCTCCTCACTTTAAGTTTTAGTGACCCGTAACAGCATTTGCACTAACCATATGCCGTAGGAAAATCCCAGAAGGCGTAGGTTGAGAACCTGATATCTTTCCAGTAGCTGCATTTGTCTCAGAGAAGATGGGATATGTCGTTAAAACAACAGAAATCGTGAACTCTCCATCACTGGACGTTTTTAAGAGACTAGTCAGCCACTTATCTGAAATGGTATCGGTTCTACTGCGTGAGCAGGGGGCTGGACTAGAAGACCTCCAAGGTCCCTTCCAGATTCTATTTTACTCAATTCCATTCCTTCATTGTTTTCTATCGTTTACTTATTATTTACATTGTTTACTTCATTGGAACATGAAAAGGGAGACCTCAGAAGAGATACCACTGTGGGTCCACGATTCAAAAGCCTGCTGCGTGAATCCATTATTAAAGTGCAAAAAAACAGTGATTGCTTGATTTTAAGCTATATGCTTCCAATTAAAATGGCATTTTTGTAAGTTTATATCTTATTAATTAAGTAATATAAAACTCTACCTAATTATAGTATGGAGTACTTGGTGTCCTCTAAGGTTAATTCTTTGCTTGCAGATATTTTATTACTTAGCTTCCTAGCATCATGCATACACTTCAGAAAGCACCAAAGATTCCACAGTTCAGTCCTGAACAAATGCTACTTACGGTAGCTTCCCACTGATTATCCTCAGAAATGACTAAAGATGATCTATGATTTGAAAGATATCAAGGGGTGGACTGGGTGACCTACTATTTCTAAAAATGCTGCAAGTCATGAAGTGCTGAGAATATAAGAATTTCTGCTTATATACAAAATATGATTGAAAAAAATATGACCTCTGCTTGGTCATGGAGTATTGATGTGATAGTAAAAGCAACGCCCTTCGCATCCTGTATTCTATATAACTATTAAACTTCCTTGAACTCTCTCACACAGCTTCTTGACAAGAGTAAACCTTTTACTGTATTCTGAGACTTAATAGGCTGCAGACTTACATTAAATGAATAGTCCATGTATTGTGAATTTACTGGATTAAAAAATGCCATTATATTCGATATCCATACAGGTGCATTCTTTTTTTACTTTGTGGTTTCATATGTTAATATAAATTAAATTCAGAAGGAAAAAAATTGTAGTAGAATGTAAAAACTGTTTCCAAAGCAAATATTTATGGGAGACCTGTTAAATGAATGTCCCGTGTCTGATCATCAACATTAAACAGTGAAAACACTTTCAAAATACTTTGTTACACACCTCTGTCTATTTTTGATAATAGATGATAAAGGAACAAAGATAGCTAAACTGCCAGTAGGGAAATGATTTAAAAACCTTTCACCCACTTCCATCTCCCTGCTTCCCCAAACTTTCAAAAGCAGCTAATAGCCAGCCTATCTTCACTTCTTCCTTCTGTTTTCACTTTTATTTGGAGGTCTGAAAATACTATGATCTAATCAGTACTCCAGTCCATTAATAGGAGAGAATAAAAATGTAATTCTTACCCAAAATTCAGAAAACAATATTTTAAACATTTAATAGCCATTTATTTTGCAAAATAAGGTATCTGCAGTTTTGCAACCGTGGTTCTCTCGGCCCACCATGTAATAAGACACCCCTCCATTTTTAGATATTTTAAAGACAAAATATCATCTTATATACAGAAAAATACAGCATATCTTTATTGTGAAGTTACAATTGAATATTGCAAGAGTAAAAATATCCCTACCATTTTCATTCTATTCTCCCCAAAACTAGGAAAGCTCCATTCTTAGGCACTTTTGCCACCCTCCTCCTTTGAATTTCGATTTTGTTACCATTGTCTAGGCTGCAGGTCTTCCTCCTGTCTTCCAAGGTCATTTTCCCACATACTACGGTTATTACATTATCTGATTGGAATAGGCAAAATGCTCATCTCTACACTACACAGAAAGGAAGGAGGTGGAATAAATTGGAATTTTTATCTCCTTCCTATTTTTACTAAAGAAGTCACACTTTTTTATTTCTCTGACTTTAGTGAAGAATAATCTGAATAATTAATATAAAGGTGTTAAGCCATCAACACTTCATTGTACAGTATGAAATTCATTGTAAACCATGGTGGCAGATTAACAGCATTTTAGCATCTTTTACAACTGGTCCTCCCAGCCCCCCACAATTGCTGCAGCCAGAATGCAGCAGCTGGGTTGGAAAAAAAGGGAAGATGAATAATCAAGGACTAGGAACTAAATTTTAGGGGTGAGGATCAGGGGTGGGGTTCCGGCAGGCACTATTTCTGGTTCGCTTGTGGGTGCAATAATTGTTCTGCGCATGCTCAGAAGTGAAAAACAAGATGGTGATGCCTATGGTGCCGGTTCCACCACAAAACCGCGGACGACAAAATCGCGGTCGACGAAAGCGCGTATGTGACGTCATCACAGCGCAACGAAAAAGATAGAAAAATGTAA